AAGATACAGGAGTTATAGGAGATATAAAGAAGTTGAGCCAACTAAAATAATCCCTAATAAGAAATTGTTAACGATCAATAACAACTATATTATATCATTTTCTACGTGTGATCCATGACGTCTGTAAAACATCTATACCTCTAAAATTAAATACTCGTTGAGTTAATGCACATATTAACGAAATCAATTCTTAAAACGGGTCTGATCATTTCATATCATTCAGTTCAAATCTTAAAGTCTGACATTCATAACGGCCACATATGAAATAGATATCGTACATTTTTCATTCTAATCAAAAGAATCTATGAAAGAGAACAAATATCAAATGCTTTTTCCTTTGTGCACAAATAATCTCACACTCCGTTTACGTTTTTCGACCATTTCAAATTATTCCTTTATCTACTAATTAATAAATGTTAAAACCTACCTGAAACGAGCAAACATCTTTATATCTTTATCATGTTTCCATTGTATAAATCTACTACTCATTAACAAAACTACAAAAACAATCTAACGCAAACTTTCACATATCCTATAAAAAAAATACCTTTTTTACAACTTTAAGTAAGCGTACACCCATCCTCTGTGCTTCCAGTACAGATTGAATTCATATTTTAATAGCTCGAATTTTCACACCACTGTTCCGGTAAATACGTAAATCACAATACATTTCCACGAGCTTCCTTTGCACTCTCCCTGACTTGATATCCTCTGAATGTATGTGGAGGTGTGTATCAAGATCTCGGCACACTCATCTGGCGAGGTGTCCTCCTGAGTGTGTGGACGAAAATGTCAAAATTCCGTGACGCCCTGGTCCTTATATCTCTAATATTTTCATTACCACCTGTATCTCCATTATCACCATTACCTCTAAGAAAGAACCATGAGTATAGAATGTGTGCTCGTTTTGAAAATTCATTCGAGTTTCCTGGGAACTCAAAAAAAAGGTATCATATGAACTAGAATAACAAAATCGAAAAAAAACTTTTTTCCAAAATGTGGTACAAAGCCCATGAATTCACCCATTTATTATTCAAGTTTATATTTAAATAGAAAAATAAAAGTGGCAGTATAGTTTCTTAAAATCTTAAAAATCGAACATATGTCAGAAAAAAATTATATAAGGAAATATTTCTAATGATGATGGACTTTGTGTAAAAATAATCAAATGTATTACAAATAAAGTTATCTATCCCAATAAATCAATATTTATTGTTGTTAGAATAATTATTGACATATATATTCACAAATTACCTTTAATTCTATCGTCATTACATCCTTTACAATCGATTATTCTACAGAGAAAAAAATAAGATAGATAATTAAAACGATTGTGACAAACTTAATATCGGTAAATGAATAATTCTTCATTCTCATACGATCCGATAGACAAACTATTTCAAAAATGATCAGTTTCTACGGTTGAATTGGATAATAAGTATTAAAATTAATCAATAAAATGTCTCTTCGAAGAAACATTTGATCGTCAAAAATGAAGAATAATCGAACAAGAGTTTAAATTTATAGTTATTGACACAATTTTTTAGATCATGACAAAGCAACTAAATCTTCTAGCATTTGATTCATGCCATTTTTCTTCGTTGTTTCAAGCTATCTCTTTTATATATTGAACGAAATTAAACAGGATATTGTTTTTGCATAAAATACAAGTTTCTCAAGTGACAAATACAGTTAACTAAGTTCAGTTCGTATTAAACTATTGAAAAAAATGTCAGTCTAATTTAGACTAGAAAAGTTCTATTTATGAAGAATTCTTTTGTCCACTGAGATATATTTTCATCCAAAAATAATGAAAAACTTAATGTCTGGAAAAGTGAATGAATGTTTAAAAAATTAAATTAAATCAACTTAAATAAAAAGAAACGATATTTATATTTATCATGTTTAGTTACTTTAATTAAGTACAATCAATGAAAGTGAACTTTCATAAATGCAAAATTTCGAGTAGAATGATGTCAAGAATGAATGAAAATATGTAATCATATTCATTGAACTTCATTACTTATTTATTTTTTCGTTGATCATCAAGTCTGCGAAGATCATTGAGAAATATATTGGAAAAAAATATTAACTTATATCAATTATCATAGAAGAAACATTAAGACATAATTCATCGAATTGTTTGAGAAATAAATAATATGATGAATGAAGACTATCCTGAATATGCTCAATATCAGACCATTCATATATATATATGGATACTTACTTAATAAACAGGAAAATAATTTCATAATAAAATTTTCATAAGCAAGGAAAAAATCTCTTACAATAAAACAATAGAACGCTGAAATTTCTTAAGATTGAAAGAGAATATAATTATGTTGATATGACGTATTTTCATCATAAAAACATTGGACATTTGTCCATTGATGTGAAATAAAAAAAAGAATTTATTTTAAAAGAATTAATTATTTTTGAAATGTTATTTAATGATGATTGACATTTTGAACAAATATAAAAATAAAAATATTTTCAATTAATTATTTGATAAGGTAAACCATATTGACGAACAAAATTTGCATCAATAACAGATTTCCATATTAATTGATCTACCTTCCATATATATCTACTGTATAAATGATATTTGCAATTTTGTAATATGATTTAAATTATTAAGAAGCCATTTTAAATAAGTAAATTCAAAATCAGTATAAACAAAACTTTTCAATTTTTGTACCTATTTTACAAATAATCAATTACAATTTTAAAACTTCAACTTTATTCGACAAGCTAAAAGATAATTATTGAAAATAATCTATTTATATTACTTTATTCTCTTCTTTTATTTAATACCTAATCTATTAAATAAATAAACAAAATATTCTTCTTTACTTTAGTCGAACAATTTTGAATAATTATTCCAATTAGATATCTCTAATGTCAAACTAAATCATCGAAATGCATCACTTTATGCAATGCTTTTCTCTTAGAGATCATTTTAAAAGATCGATTTTATTAATTTTACATTCGATTTACCCTTACTTATATCGAAATTAACTACATGATTAATCAGTGGTGTTGACATGCAATAGGTCTTTTTTATTTTTATTTTGTTTAAATTTTTTTTAATCGTTACTTTAGTGGAAATAGAAATTCACGAAGAAAGAATTCGAGTTTTTTATCATTGGCAAAAAGTAGATTTTCATTATCGAAAGATGATTCTAATGACAAACTTGTCAATGCAGATCTTAAAAAACTCAAATATCGAACACAAATCTCTCCTTCATTTTTATTAAAACTCTAATACAGAAAACTATTTCTAATAGACGATAGTTCAACGAAGGAAAACCGTCATCTCATATTTACTTCATCGATGTCACAATTATCTCTTATTGAACTTCATAGATCTTTTAACAGTACTAGAAACTTTATATGAATTAGATGAAATATTACTTTATTTTTTGCCTTTCAACAGATACAAATCTATCGCGATCGATTAGAATCTAAATAAACTAATTAACAAGTTGAAAAATCTGACCCAAGGATTTCTTCTCATACTGTCTTCTAATTAAGTACGTACGAGTGGTAGAAAACTTACTAATGATTGATTTTTTTCTCCTACAAGAAACTCGAATATTGAGCAGTCTTCTATTAAAAATTGTTTGGTTTTGCCGGTTCAAATTTAAATAATAAATACATAAGGATCAGTCCATACATAACTCTAATAAATTCTACCGGATCTCATTACATTCAGATCTATCCATTCCAGAATCTATCGGAATCTGAGAGAATCGAAAAGCATTCATTTCAATCCACTATGAACTTCGAACTCTCAATTCGCTTATTTCTCGCTTACATTGATAATAAAAACGTCCTACAAAATATATCATTTATTAACTAAAATTACATCATGTTCTTTACTTGACTGTCTGTTAATCAGATCATTCGACATTTTTCTTTATCTTTTTTTTTGTTTATCAATACAATGAAATATTAGCCAGTGAATTTTATCGTCTTTTGACGATTAATTGATGAAATCCTCAAAAATCTATTCAAACTTCTATTCTTTTCATATTTGTATCGTTTAATAATTATGCACTTTTCATATTACTCGATTATGATGTCATCAAAAAGAATCTACGCTTTCCTTACAAAACTACTTAATTTAATAACAAACTCGTTGTCTCCATTTGAGTAACATCATTCGTAGTACAACCCTTGGCGCATTGTTCAAACACAAAAAAAAAAAAACTTTAATATAAACTAACATTTACGTATGAGATAAAATTTAACTAAAGAGTTTTACAAAGAACAAACAAGTAGAATAATCTAATATGAATCTTACTTTATCAAAACCAATTTCCATTTGATAGTTTCGGTATGTTAATGTTTGAATAAAGAGAATATTTAGCGATTAATGAATTGCGAAGATAAACCGATAATTGTTCGAGATTGGGCATATATTCAATGAGATGTTCAAGAAAACATATGTGGTAGATATGAATATACAAGCGACGTAGAGTTATAGAATAAGATTGAAATTCATTAGAAATTTTTTTTGACAAAAAACATAAGAATGTGAATTTAAACTTTTATGAATTTCATAAGATAATTTGGCTATATCCAATTGAAGAGAAGTTAATTGACATTGATTAGAAAATATTTGACATAAAATTTGTTTCAACATACTTTTTATCTTTTCTATTTAATCATAAGAGAAAAAAAAGTCATTTCTATCATTATAACATTTTATTAGGAAGTTTATTGTAACAAAAAAAAAATAAAGTATTTTTCATTTCAAGCTATTAAAAACGTTTATATCCTCTTTGACTATCTCCTTTAATTAATAGAATAATAGTTGTTTCAAGTTATTTTTCACGTTTTTGTTTTAAATAAGTGTTTCAAGTGATTATCAATAAATTTTTATTTATTAAGTTTAACCAATATAAACATAACAAAACTTGGACAAATAAACAAAAAACACAAGTTTTGAGTATCAACAAAAATTATCTTTTTTTTTTCTGTATTGAACTATTTGTTTAGAATGAGCCATCTCTAAAATAAAAATTTTTAAAAAATTAGAAAAATATCTAAACATAACTTGATAAAATTCGAGTTCCAATCAACTGATTATTTATAAATCAAGTATTTAACATACTTATCAAACATTTCATCCTCGTCAATTGCATCAAGATTATTAGCCCAATTAGCAATTTTTTTCCGTTTAACTAAAAGAATCCAAATATTCTTATTAAATAAATGTTTAAAGTGTATATGTACTTACATTTATTTGAAATACTATTCAAAGTTTGTACAGCTTTTTTTTTATCGACTCTATATTGAGATTCACTAAAAACAATGGATTAATTCATAAGAATAGAAGAAGATTTGTCTTACGCTTCGATAATTGAAATATGTTCATCATCTGCAATAATATAACCAATTGATCCTAATTTAACACAATCATTTAATACCGCTAAACAATATAAATGTGTTTTAATATTTATATAATATTTAATTTACTTACATTGATAGTTTTTATTTCGAAAATAAGCTTTAATTCGACTTTTTAATAAAAGAATCTTTTTTTTTTTATTATTAGATTGTTTTTTATCAATTATCGAAGTAAGAGTCTAAAAGAAATAAATATATAAATTACTTTTTAATCAATAAATTCATACTACACATACATTAATAACTTTATCATGGTTATTTTGTTCAATAGCTAATATATATTTAACCAAATCTCCCATTTTATATGAAGAAAATATTAAGCTTTTTTAATAGAATAATAAATAACAATCAAATCTAATAATGATGAAAATAAAATTTTCTATACATAAATGAGCTTTTATATCCAAACAAGCATCACAATAAAACAAAGACGTTATTGTTGTTGAATTAATAACAATAGCGAAGAACAACAAGACGTTAGAAGTTGTTTTCTATTAGATTTATTAATGAAACCAATCACTACGATATAGAAAAGACGTCACCAATGACTATCAAAACAATGATATTCGTTTAACAATCAAATAAAAGAAAACGTATCGTCAATGTTATGTAAAAGAGAAAGACATCATATGATAAAAACATTAGGCAATTATATAATCAACATTACACAGAGATATTTGGTGACTAACTATCGTTACTTAATTTATACCGTCGGAAAATCGATATTGTTCCGCATTGATTTGGAATGATAGTGATTCTAATAAATTTTACTGAGAAACCTTTCATCTTTTTTAACTCTTAGCCTTCACCTATGTTCTATGGAATTATCTAGTGATTATTGAATGATGATAACAATCATACAGATAGCTGAGAAACAATGAAGAAGTGTCAATTAATGAGATATACTCAGAAGATAAACTACTAGAAGATTTTAAGAATAAAAAATTGACATTGATTCAAATTTACTAAATATAATTTGTTTGTTCTTTTGTTACTTTCCGCATCTGATAATAAATTAGTTATTCATTTCAAGCGAATTACATTTATCTTCTTTTTATTTTTATTGAAATCTGAGGGGGAAACAACTAAGACTTCGCTTTCGAAATCCAATGAAGTTCTGAGGTCTTTTTGAACTCTCATGAAGTCTTATGAAGTCCATGAAGTCAAACGAAGTCTTGGAAGTCGGTTGAAGTTCGTTGAAGTCTCGTGAAGTCTGATCAAGTTTTTTTTAAGTCTTTTGAAAATTTGAAGTCTCTGTTGTTGAAGTCTTGAAATCCGCTGTTTCCCCCTCGACCAATTGCCTCCTGGTGGCTCACCGATGTCATCAAAAGATATTAGATATGTAAGAGATCAAATTTCTTTATTTTATTATATTTTCAATTAATATTTGTTTTCATATAATAATCTTTATAGTCTATGTTTCCTGAAGCAATCGCTGTTGGTGATCTTGTTAAAAGTACACTTGGTTCAAAGAACATGGTATGAATTGTCTCTAATTTATTATTTTATGCATGAAATTTGTTTCTTTCAGGATTAAATTCTTCAATGTAATATGAGTGGTGGACCTGATGCAGATAAATTATTAGTAACAAATGATAGGGCAAACGATATTAACAAAAATTGGTGTTGATAATCTGGTAGTAAAAGTTCTTGGGATGTTTTTTTAATATATTTTTATTTCGATGATTTATTGTTTTTAATTAATAGATATTTCAAAAGTACAATATGATGAATTTGGTGATGGTACAACATCTGTTGTTGTTTTAGCTATTGAACTACTTCGAGTATGACTTTTTTTTTTTAAATTATTTTTTATTGAAAATTTTTTTGATTATAATAGGAAACGGAAAATTTACTTGCACAAAAAATTCATCTTCAAACGATTATTACAGAATAGCGAAAAGCAACGAAGAAAGCACTTACAGTTTTAGAAGGCGTTGCTAAAAATAATAGGTATCAGAGAAGGTAATTAAATAATAATAAAAAAAATGTTGTATTTTATATTTATTTGATTAATTCAAATTTGGAACGATTTAAAAGTGATTTTATGAATATTGCTCGTACAACACTTAGTTTAAAAATTCTTCAAGAAAGAAAGATCATTTTTCGAAATTATGTGTTGATGCTATATTACAAATACATGTAAATATCTTCATTTAATTTAATCAAAAAAGTAAAAATTATCTTTTTTTTTAGGATAAAACTGATTTACAAGGTATTCAAATAATAAAACTTTTAGAAAATAATCTTAATGATTCATACCTTGAAGAAGGTAAGAAAATATTTATTTTAATTAATCAAAAAATAAAATTTTTATTTTTTTTTTTCAAGTTTTCTATTAGAAAAACATATTGGTATGAATATGCCGAAACGTATTGAAAATGCTCGTATTTTAATTGCAAATACATCAATGGATACAGATAAAATAAAAATATCTGATTCATCTGTGCATATTGATTCAATTGCTAAACTAGTTGGATTATAATTAGCTAAAAAAGAAAAAATGAAAGATAAAGTTGAAAAAATTCTTTAATTTAATTGTAATGTTTTTATTAATCGGTAGAAAAAAATGAAAATTATTTTATTTATATAAAAAATTTAATTTTTCTAGATAATTAATTTATGATTATCCCAATCAATTATTTGCTGAAAAAGGTGTTATGACTATTGAACATGTAGATTTTGAAGGTTTTGAACGTTTAACACAAGTACTTGGTAAAAGAATAAAGAATTTTTTTTGTTTTTTATTAAAATGAAAAATTAATTTAGATGGAAATATTGTATCAACATTTTTGATACACCAGATAAAGTACGTTTAGGAAAATGTAATCTTATTGAAGAAGTTATTATTGATGAGGATAAACTTATTAAATTTTCAGGTAATGAATTTTTGTATAGACAAAAGAAAGTTTATTTGAGTTGAAAATATAGGGATCGCACAAGGTGGAGCATGTACAATTGTATTACGTGGTGTCACACAATAAATAAATTCTTGATGAAGCTGAACGATCAATTCATGGTGCATTTTGTGTTTTATTTCAAACAGTTAAAGAACCACGTATTTGTTATGGAGGAGATTTATTTAAAATAAAAGTTTATTTAAAAAAATAACAAATGAAATTTTTTAAAATAGGCGCAGCTGAAATGTTAATAGCTAAAGCTGTTTCTCAATTACCTGAAAAAACACCTGGAGAAGAATCAATTGTTATTGAATTATTTGCTTGTGCACTTCGACAAGTAAATCAAATAAAATTTTTATTTAAATCATTTTTTTTTTTTAATTATAGTTATCAACAATTATTCCTGATAATGCTGGTTATGATAGTGCTAAGTTAATAGCTAATCTTCGTGCTGCTCATACTTCAGGAAAATCAGCATTTGGTCTTGGTATGAAGTTTCAATTTTTGGTTTTTCTAATCTTTTTCGGTTTTTCTTTTTGTAGATATGGAAAAAGGTATAACTGCTGATATGGTCGAATTAGGTATACTTGAATCATTTCATCTTAAACGGCAAGTTGTTATTAGGGCAGCTAAAGCAGCTGAAATGGCATTATGTCTTGATAATATTATTTGAGCACCACCACGACCTCATCAACATAATAGGCGTCATCATTAAATCCGAGAAATTCGAACATGTTGTTCGGTTTTTTTATATCATTTCATAGACTCTATTTTATTTTCTTCTTTTAATATTGATATACATTGAAATGTGAAAGGAGTATGTTTGAAAAACACCTCTGTTGTATCCGTGTGATTGTTATTTTGTTTAACTCTTGTTGATATTTTTCTTGTTATTAAAATCAAAAACAAAGAAAAACTAAAATAATCTTACTTTAATCATGATAAAGAAGCTAACGATCGATATATCCAAAATGGTCGATATTTCTGATATCATCTATCGATGTTTAGTTTGTTTGAACTACCAGATTCTATTCTGATTGTTTTCTAATACAATAAAAGTCAAATAATACGAATGTTTGATTAAATGTTTGCTAATTTCTGTTAAGGGTACCCATCCTCTCTTCTTTTTTACCAAAAACTTGATTTTGAGCTGGGCATAAGGTATGATAGGCCCACGTATCCTGTGCAATTAAACACATCATTCGATCCTAAATAGCTTACTGTTAAAAAGTTACTGAGTTTAAGAAGTTCATTTTTTATACTAATCATAACAAAATTCTTTTTCTTTTATTTAGCATAGCACAAAATACGAGTTTCTTCGAATCTAGTTGTTTATGAACTCCTCCTCTCTAATTATGTTCGATTGGGCTTAAATTTTTACTATAGATACTTGAAAGCATTCTTCATAGGTGAAATCGACCGTTTTCGTGTTTGATCTTCCTATCTGGATTTAAATGATCCTGAAGGCCAAAACTTCCGTTTTGGCTTCGAGCTAGAAGAAAACAGAAAACTTCAAGACTTCAAATTTTTCAAAGACTTCATCAGACTTCATTTGACTTCGAGAAACTTCCAAAGACTTCATGGGACTTCAGAAGAGTTCATGTCACTTCAAAAGACTTTGCCAGACTTTTAGACTTCATGAGATTTCAGTCTTGAAGTCTTTGCTGTTTCTTCTCGATAAATTCTTATGCCTTTTGAGATAAATCTCATATTATTTCTGCCATCATACATATATACTTCCAATGAGGCCGTCCGGAAAAATATTGACTCAGTTAATAAATCCTGTAAAGAAAGAAATCCTAAACAATGAAATCCTGGTTAGCTCATCGTTTTATTGCAAAAATGCGTGAATTTGTAGAGGATTCGGCTTTCACCTAAGTAACATCCTGAATCTGAATGAATCTGATGGATTAATGACAAGAATGTTAGTTTAGCACCTAAATAGTGCTGATTTCCGAAGTATTTTTTGAAATAACAGTCGCGATGGCAACTCTTTTTAAAGTTCATCACAGTGTGGCAGCGGTGCGATGGGGTTAGCCTTTTGTTGTGGTGCAGCAGCGGTACGAGAGCTTTTCTTTCTATGACCGCGGCGCGCCAACAACAGATTTTCAGCTACGATGGACATCTCTGATTTTAAATTCGATTATCATTTTCATAATCGATTGAAATCTCAATCTCATCAAATTTGATTGAGGATTCTTAGTTGAATATAATTGATTATTCATCATTAAATCAGATTTTAATTAGACGACTGAATTCTTTTATCGATTTGAATCATGATTACCAAAAAAGGCGTTTTTCACGAGTTTTTAATTGGAAACTCCCATTTTTGATTATTTTTTTGAACTCCTCGCCTCCACAACTGATAAATATAATACTGTACCAATCGTTCAAATTCATACCACACTTTCAGATACGATACTAACTGATACTTGCTCATATAAGTGAAAATGCCTATTAAATGAATTAAAATCGATTAAAGTCGGAGTTTTTAGTCAATTGTAATTGATTGATAATCAATTATAATCAAAATCATAAATCCAATTATTCTGGAACAGAATCACAATTATAATTAATTACAATCTGTTTGTTTTGAAAAATATATCCAGATGATAATCCATGATAATTAGATTATAACGAATTATCATCTAATGAAAATTTGCAACAAAATTCGATTTTAATAGATTAAAAATATTGATTTTATTGCAGAATAATCGGTTTTATTATTTTGACTATTCTCATAGGGTTTTGAAATTTCAATCAGATATAATCAGTAAAATGTCATCTGGCGAAATAATCAAGCTAGTTTCACACTATATTTAAACATTTGTTCTAATGAGAACGAAATGATGTATCAATGCAATCTAACCTTTAAATTTAGTTTTATAATATCCTTGTTGATTGTTACGATTGAAAAGACGAAAAGATATTTTCGCATAGACAGAAAAGAATACACCTTATTCATTTCAAAATTCTTTCGTCACTTCAATAAAACATAAGATGGACAACAAATGTTATTTTTGATTATTTATTATTTAAAAACAACAAACTGTTACTTACAATGAATAACTTTTCTTAATAATTTTTCAGCTGTAGATTTGAAATGATAATGTGTTTCAAATAAATTTATTTTTATTAACTTATAAATAATAAATATTAGAAGTCTTTTCTTACTATACATATTAAAAAAGACAAAAGAGAAAATCTCATTCGAACACACTTTTATCTGTTGTTCTTTCCACAATTATTGATTTATTTGCTAAAAGATTCGTCTCTTACAAATTAAATGAGAGTTAAAAACTTTGCTCTTTGCTGACTGTTTCGGCACAGATACTCTAATATCAATTGAGATCGAATCAACATATATTTAATTACTTTCTTTTAGACGTTTTTTGTCATGTTTGAAGAATAAACCTAAAGAATCAAAGAACAGCTATTCATGTTTCTGTTGTTAATATGATTGTTGATTAAAGATTCTGTTATATATATGAGATTTATTCGGAGAAAGTATTGATGAAATTAATCATTAAAGAAAAAATAGAAACATGATATTTTTCTTTAGCGTATAGTTATATCATATAATATAATAGATAATAATTAAATCCAAAGAGAAAATCTTGATATTTGAATATCAGTTCGACTATTTGGAAAATGTTTTTTGAACCATTAAATAATAAGCTTTGACTTTTTCAGGATAAATTTTGCCATAAATATCAATATAATGAAATTGTTTTAATTGTTCTACTAATTTACAAAGATCTTGTTCAAACACACGAACATATTCATCTAAATAACAACAATTTTATTCTTCTAGAAATAAATATATTCCAATTCCATACTGATAGATTAAGGTGTACGTAGAGTTTGTGTCCATTGTTTCATAAACTTTTCATACAAGTTTCCAGATTTAAAGTTCGGTCGAACTTAAAGAAATAAAAAAACAAAAAAAGAATAAATATCAAAGAAATATTTCTAAATTCAAAAAAACATTTTTTTGTGTTTTCTTTTTTCAAACGAAAAATAAATAATCAGAACATGTGTTGTTCATCTTTATTGTAAAATCATTCAAAAAAAATAATTTTCTTTAATAGAAATTTTTAAATGAAATAAAAGTCATTCGATACATTTTCATAATTACTTTGACTAAGATTTTAATTCATTTTTTTTAAGAAGTTCAAACAATCCAAAAAGAAAATAAAAGTTTTATTAACATGAAATTATACTTTTCACACATTATAGCCATATACTCTTGTACAACTCACTGATATCGTTCGACAAAAATAGTCAATAGAAATTTAATCTAAAATTTTGCTTCTTCTTATCTATACTGTAGCAAATCAGAATTTAAGATCAATAGATAGATATCAAGAGTGAAGAGTATTCTTCCATTTTAGCAACTAGGACTCAAGACCAAGTAATATATGGTTCCCCGACCATCTTTACACTCTTTCACTTTCAGAACGACTAAGTAGTAATTTAGTAACAAAAGAATTAATAGATGGAACATCAATAGAAACAAAAAAAATACGTATCCGAAGCAAATAAATAAATAAAACAGAGAATTTCTGTAATAGTTATACATCTTTGAAGACGAATTTATGACGAGGAATAAACAGTAAATTTCAATTCTAAAGTCTCATAAAGTCTTCTAAAACTTTTCGATTACGTTTAGTTCACGAAAAATTCTCTACAAAATTGAATTTTTTAAATACTGTTTAAGGTATTCTAAAACAGAGTATCATAAAGAAAACTTCGTATAAAATTACGTGAGAGCTCTCAGAGTCAATGGTCTTCATGATATTTATCACTGTAACTGCTTGTTTTCAGTGATCTTATTGTAGCAGAAATCTTGTAAAGTTTTATTGTTTTACTAATTAATATGCCACAAAAAAAAATTAAGTTCATGACAACTCAATAAACGTCTTATCGTTAGTTGGAAATTCAATGCTTTCTTAATGAAATTGTTTATTTCTGTATAGAAGTGTTCCATTAATTTAGTATCAATTGTATAATGAATATTAATTAATTTTGTTTGTTTTTATCTCTCAAAAACAGTTTATCAGCTGATAATTGACTAGCTTCGTCTATCGATAATCGACAAGCTGTTTGCTCAAATATAAGTTTAAATTTATATTTTATGTGATTTCTAAGCTTTCTCAAAGTCTCCTGAAGTCTGAAGAAGTTTTCTGACATCTCGCAATATCCCACAAAATATTTTTAAGTCTAATAAAGTTTCATATAACCTCTGAAGTTCTGTGTAATTTCATGAAGTGTTTAGAAGTCTTCTGAAATCTAATAAAAGGATCTGATCAATAAAACATCAATTTTTCTCCACTCTGAAAACATTATAAAATGAAAGTATCTTAATAGTATTTAGTTGAAAACTAAACTTACTTGATGTCCAAGGAAAATCATCTGGTCTCCAAAGTAGAGATCTGCGAAGTCAACTTTTTTCATTCCGAAACTCGACTCCGACTCCGATTTCGAAATCTTTCTTTTTACGACTCCGATTCCAACTCCGATTCCGAATATTTTTATTTTTTGACTCCGATTCCGACTCCGAAAAACTCCGAAATTTTTTAACAATGTCATTTAAAAATAAAACGTTCTCAGCAGCCAAAGGACTCTTTAATGACTTAACATGCGCACGTTTTACACTAAAAATCTCAAGTTTCTCTTTAAAAAAAAACAGTTTATGGATGTTANCCCCCCCCCCCCCCCCCCCCCCCCCCCCCCCCCCCCCCCCCCCCCCCCCACCCCCACCCCCCCCCCCCACCCCCACCCACACCCCTCTCTCTCGTGTAAGACAAAGCCATTTGCGAATTTCAGTCAATACAATACGTTTTCGTGGATATGAAGGTACACGGATAAACGTACATGACACATGTAGCATATTAAAAAAGAGATTAACAGAAGTAAAAGAATCAATCAAATTCTGTAATATATTGACTAGTGGCTTGTCTATTAGATAAAAACCTCCATACAATGACAAATGACGTAGATGCGGAAATAGTAGAGCCAACATTGAGCTATTCACTAGTTCATAACTGGATTGTGGTTGTCCAAGATTGGGTTGTGACCGTCCAGAGTGCAAAAATAAACTTCGAAGTCGATACGAGGGTGGTAAAGAGCAACAACAACCTAATTCACTCACTACGCTCCATGGAACACTTAGACATTGAAGATGAACTGCACTTTTCAGTATATTTTCTAGTAAACTTGCATATATTACTGCTTGTGTATGATCAATATCAATCACTTGAAGATGTAAAGAATGAAGATGAAGAGGAGGAAAATAAGAATTGTGCTATATGAAATCGTATCAGAGGGCAATGTACACAAAAGAAAAGTATGTTATGAAAGAAAATAATTTCTTACCGATACTGAAAATCTAATTATTGGCATGTACCAATGCCATTTTAAGTGATATACACGAGGAAGAATTCGTAAAATATGTTTAACGATGTCCGATGCATATAATTTGATGCTGTTAATATTACTACGTTTGCACAACCACACCAAATGTTGTACATTTGCTTGTCCATCATGATCACTAGCATGTGTAATAAATCGATGATTTACCAAGATACGATCATTTCGTAAATTATATGAATAGGTATAGACGACTAACATTGCAGAAGACAAATTTTCTTCAATGATATGCCGTACGCACCATCCTCTCGAGAGCCAATCACTAATGTTAAAAACTAAATCACCGAACTCCGTCGCTTCGTATTCATAACGCAATGTAACAGGCAGACACAAAGAGAAACAGAAATAATTGAGTGAGAACCAAAGAGAACTTGAATGTACAGCTTGTCGAACTTCGATGAGTTGATTCAATACTAAAATAATATTCGATTTTCATATAGTAGATTAAATATTATTGCTCGATTCAAAATAAAAGACGACTGGTAATTTTTTGAATAAATTTCGACGGAAACATGATAGATACCTGTGATTTTTACTATCGGAAAGAGCAATGTTCATAATAATCTCAACTTAATTTATATCAACATGTAGCTGAAGTCAATCTTTTTTTTCGCTATGAAATTCTCATACGTTTCTGTAAATCAGCTTGCAATAAGTGGTTGAGAGATAATGAAATATGCTACAATTCTATAGCGAAACAACTCTGACTTGAATTACATTTTGATATAAATTGAGTTGTGATTATTGTGAAAATACGCAAAGAATAATATGGATTCAAAAGTACCTTTAAAAAAATACGTTTCACCTTAATGAACTGTATACACATGGATAATTCGAACATCACTTTTTCGGATGGTGAAAATCATAGGTCTGTATCTTGTTCCTGTCGAAATTTATTCGAAAAATGACCAATCGCCTTCTGTTTTGAATCGGGCAATAGAAGTAAAACACATTTACTATTATACTTTAATGAAGTCTGCACGCGAATTAATGTCAATGATTTGAGATTGGGTATTTTCACATGGCGAATAATCAACAAGTCATTGCTCATCAAAAAATCACTGCCATCATTGCCACACAATGTAAGCGTATGTAAGTGCATCACATTCATTGTTGCTAAATAGGACTCGTTCAATATGTTCTTGGGTTCATAAACATGTTCTAAATTACAAACAATTGAAACAGTACGTTCAAACGTCACAGTTACATTTTCAAGACAAGGCGTTGCACTTGGTTGTAATAGAATAAACAGTTCTGTAAAGCGTTTCAGAGGCAAGGTTAAATTGACAGTGCGTGAAAAATAAGGCTGCCGTCCAGAAACACCAATTAAAACGTGCAAACTTCCTTGATATGTGTCGTACCGTGCATGTATTCCTATAGGTATAAAGAATTCGAGTAAATTACATATTAATTACTTTTTTTTTTTATTATATCTGTAAAGAAAGCAAACTAAATACTTATTGATTTCTATACTGTATCATGAAAATAAGCATAGATAATTTATAGAATCAATATGTAAAATGTAATTAAAATATTTTTAGTTTATGAAAGCATTAAGTTGAGCATATAAGGAAAGTAGGAAACATATCATATCATTTATATCACAAGTCAACAAATTAATAAGTATCATTCTTACTACTATTTGTCTCGGTTTATAAATTATACAGACATATTTTGCAATATAATGAGAAACTGAATTGAATGATTAATCTCAATGACGAAAGAGATCTGTAGTTTTTTTTTTCATTAGTGTACATACCGTCAGTTACGTGAAAGATCATTGTATGACAAGAAGCCCGTAAGAAGATGAGTTCATGAAGTACTGCAACATACCATTGGTCGGCATTGGCAGAAATGAATAGAAACTTGTCAAGTTGTCCGATGACATTAGTGCCAGTGCCACAAGTAAGAACAATAGCAAACGGTTTGAAGACGTTTTTTGAAAAAACTCCATATTAGAGAGAGTCAGTTCCCGTACAGAAGACAAAAACGGAGGCATACTGCTATTAGCCCATCGAGACAGAATATCATAAACATAAGCTACGTTGCAAAAACCATCCAGTATTAATGAACGAATAAACAAACTCAAACAACGTGTACGAAAACCATTGCGATCATCTACAAAAGCTCGATAAAGAGAATACGAACAATGACCGTCATGGAAAGCCAGAGTACGACGATTATTTTTATCTTCAGCAAGCAATTTATCCAAACGATTACAGACACCAATTAGTGAGTATCCCATGTCGAAACGTGTCAAATAAGTTGAAATTTTAAATAACAGTTCATCTGGCAGCTCATCCAGTTTCATGTTTTATTGATTGATAGTGTATACATTTTTTCAACATGCATGTATGTTGTATCGTTCGTTCATGTTGATCAACTCTTATCGATGTTATATTTTATTTTGGTTAATCGTTTTTATGTTTCTTACACAATGATGGAGAGTGATCAATCCTTGCAATATGATTTGTCTAAAAAAAAAGTAAACGAGTGACCGATTGATACATGAGACAATGAATAGACAATAAGTGTTGGATAAAATCTAAATATTTTTCTTTCATATAGTCTTTCGTAACAAAGTCATACAAAACAAGATCAAAACTAAGTATTTTATTTATAAATAACAATAACAAATCGAATTATTTTATATTCTCCACCATTTATCTAATTCTTGTTTTCATGAAATTATTGATAAAGATGAAGCAATAGATATGATTTTGCTTTCACCTATTCTGTGTCATTGTAGAATATGTAAAAAAAACTATTCATGTGTGAAACGAAAACTTGATCATGCAATACAATACTGTCTCTTCATAGACTTAAAGAATTTATTTTATTTTCAATGAAATTTTTGCGATGAAATAATCTCGACAATTGGCAACATATAATAAAAATACAAGCTCTCATTTTACTGCCAACTTTTGTCTGTTTTGTTGTCATATAGCACTGATCGTCAAGATCCTTTCATATTGGTTTAGTTTTGTACTTTAATATTATATGCATCAATGATGCATTGTTATAATATTATTTATAAGACTCTCGAATAAGGAACTTTGATAATCCGTAACGAGCCGATCATCACCTGTATAGAACTGAGTGACTATAAAATCCAAAGATCGTCGAAAGAAATCTATGCATCATAATCAAATGATTCTGATTCTCAATATTCTCCTTTTTTTTCTTTGTTAACATCAGTGAATAATATATGTAGTAGATTTCATTTATTAAATCAGTTATTTTATCCAATTTATGAATTCTTTTGCACAAAAATAAATAGAAAAGAAAATCATAACAACAACCGTAATATATATATAATACACTGAAGAATGAAATAGAAATAAAATGAGACTCATTCACAGACAAACTACTCAATAACATAAAACAACAAAAAAGAATTCTTCTTAAAATGTATGAATAAATAATCTGACATTAAAAAGAAAAAAAATGACATTGTCTCTTTTAATAAACGGAAGACCGGTGATTTAATCAAAAATTATAATAGAATTCATTTTTTTTTCTAAATTGCTTGAATATAATTAGCAGGTACATAACCACGTTGTCTTGTATCATTAAGTTTTTCAACATACCACCAATCATCATTTCCACCATCATCAAGACGACGTAAAATTTTTAATCGTTCACCAGCATGTAAAGAAAGAACACCATCACTTGTACATTCAAAATCATACATTGCTACATAAATCTAAATCATAAATAAAAAAACTTTTTTTGCAAAAAAAAAAAAGATTTCTTTTTAGTTTAAATTTTTACTTGTTCTTCTTCAGTTGATTCAGAAATAATTGAATCATCAAGATCAATTGAAGCATATTGATGACATTCATTTATTTGATTTAAATAAATTCGTTCATTTTCAACATCATTTGACGAATTTATTAAACCGGTTTGTGGTTCTGAATGAGCTCGTTTTAATAGATGTTTGCTATTTCCATGATGAGATTGATCATAATTAAATGCTGGATTAGCATGAGCAGATGAAAGAGATAGTCGTGTTGGCATTCCTATATCATGACGAAGTGGTGTTGGCGGTGTATGAGACAGAAGACCGGATCGATCGTTCGATGATAGAGGAATAAGAATTGAACGAGGTAATAAACCTCGATTAACTATAAACAAAAATCAATATATATATATATATTAAAAGAAAAACAAAAGAACTATTCATACTTCCATTATCGACAAACCAATTTGCAGCATTTGAATCTTTTGTATTTATATCATTTTGATTAACTACAGCAACAAGATCGCCCTATTTAAATGAATAAGATTCTGTAAAATATGTTTCAAAAACACAAGATATTCATTTGTCATATTCATAAACTTTCTTATCGACAATTTTCATATCGTCTTTTCGTAGACTTTCTACAGTGAACACCGAGTAAGTATACAAAATAGAAAAAAAAAGAATAATGACATGTAATTAGAGTAATAATAATTTATTCAAAAACCTATCGACACAAGACCAACATTCTGTATTCTTCTTGAAATATAACTTCTCGTGGTATTTCTGTATTTAAGACAACACTACAGTTGTTTAAAACGTTAGGATTGATCTGTTATCTAAATTTCAATAAGTTCTTGAGTTCAGAACTTATGGAAGGGTGTGGGTGTGGATGTGGGAGGATATGGATGTTTTCTTCTTCATATTGACACACACCCACACCCCTATGTATGCAAAATGTTGGCTAAAGGCTCTAGGAACTTTTCGAACTAGAATCCGATTTACGTGATACTAGCTTTCAACTTTTCGTCTTTATAAGTATGAAAGATTTTTCTATTCAAAGAAAAATTTGCACTCAATCATCATTTATAAATAGATGTGAATAGGCTGTCATGGTATTATTCAATTTTATTTGGCAAGAATGGCAAGACATTGATGATGGACTATGACCGATTATATACGTGAAAAGAATACTCCAGTGTATGTTTCATGTATTCAATAGCTGGAACAAGATTAATGTTCGCAATAGTTATAGTTAATGAAACATCGAGAATGGTACATTACAATCTGCAAACTTCGGTACATGTGTGCTATTGGTAAGACTTAGTCAATTGCATAAATTTTAGGATAATATTCGTTTAGAGCGATAAAACAGTTCCAGTACCCGCACTAAATTTAAAAGGTGTTTCATAAGATCAACTATTTTTGAATAACTCAAGAACATTGTCAGGTATTGGTTTCGAACTTTTAACATCGAAAAGATAAAACAGTGATTAGTGGTTATTAGTGGACCATATTAAAAAGGAAATTTTCAGAATTACAGTTGCATTCTTTCCGACCATGTTTTAATGTTGACACGATACAAATTAAAATTGTCAGTAATTGTGTATGATTATGAGGAACGTGAATTCTGCTGCTTTTTAACGAACTTATGCATTCTTTATTGATTTACAAACTGTTTTAATACCGCTATATCTGAAATAGTTGCATATTTCTTTCCTTTGTAAGCAAATAAAATATCTAATAGACTTAAACTCCATGATAAAAGATATTGTTCGCTTGATAACTTTTATTACAAATCACTACTCTATAATATGGTTTCATAAATTTTATTTTGTTCAATAATGATAGAATACTTCGCAAAATATGCTATTGCTTTTGACGAGTATTACAAAGTATGATTTCTCGTATGCAGATATTTTGCGGTTGCTCATAAGCAAACAAGACACATCGAGCTACATCTTCAGCTGGTAACGTGAGAATCGTCAATTTCTCCGCTACATCATTGGTGCCCGATTATGTATCTTGCGGATGATTTGTTAATTCAGCATTAACAGTGCCTGGTACTAAATTAATCAATCAACCAGCATATTGTGATACTTCTTCGCGAATTTGTTCTGTCAAAGCGTGTACGCCAAACTTTGTTGCACAATAGACTGCATGCCGTGAAAATGTTTTGTGCCCTGCAAGTGAACCTATATTCACTATGGTACCACCTCGACGTTTGGCTATAATGCTGAATGAGAAGATCTATTAGTAACAGCTTTCATTACTTACTCATCGATGGTAATACAAAATGAATACCATTGAGGACACCCATCAAATTGACATCAATCATTCACTACCACTCTTCAGGATTTTGTGTATGAGCTTGACCTACAATCATCACACCAGCATTATTCACTAGAAAATCGACTGGTCCATAGTTTTCAACAGCTTTATCTTTAGATTCTTTAAATTGAGCTCCATTTAACGATCAAGACGACGAGCGAGCAATAGTAGAGAATAACCTGCTGCAGAAAATGCTTTCGCACAGGCTTCTCCAATAACAGATGAAGCGCCTGTAATAACCACTAACGGCCTATTGCTTGTCGTCGAAAACGTACACGAAGCCATTATGTAAAGAAGAAATGAAAAAAAATGGTAATATCACATATAATATAAGCCTCCGCGATATGTACATGACATGCCTATTATTGCATGATAGGCATAGAAGCATACAAAATGATTGTGTTTTGAGGTTGCTCGTGGCACATTCAGTATTAGCTCGATAATGCTTTATATTTTCGCAAACTTTCGTCGGGTATAAAAAGAAAATAGTGCGGAGAAATATGAGGAAAGCATTAGATTCGACGATATAGAGTAATGTCAATGTGAACGTGGTTTCTTTCTACTCACACACTAAAACTCTTCTCATCAAAAAGAAGAATCGTTCTGTTAGCGATACGCGAATAATGACATGATTAATACACTTTACTATTCTTGTAGATTGAAATGAATTCTATTGATTTGTAACTTCAATGAACTGACATGTTACAGTTTGAGCAAACAACAAAGTGATGTGATTTAACTAGCCGTTGTTGAAGAGTATAGTGGACGCTGGTTCGGCAATAGTATTTAACACATTTAATATACATCACACATATTTCTTCGGATTGTATACAGAGAAATGTGATCGTAATACGAAGATATTTAATACGATGATTTACGAGCGTGCTTGCTCGACCTTAGTAGCTGATTGGATGAGATCGAATTATTTTATTTTTTTCAACTTTTTTCAGTCATTCTTTTTTATTCCAGTCGGGAACTCTAATTGTAAATAGAAAAAATGACTACGTTTTTTTTTCTGTTTATTGCAAAATTGACAAAAGCATATATAGTCAACGCAAGCAACTTTTTTTTTCGATTTCTTATCGTCTGTTTTTGCGTCGATAAAAGCAACTGATGAAATGTGCAGTCTGTGATTACCTTCTGTTTGAAAAAGAAAAATAGGGAAAAAGTAAGCATGCTGATAAGTATGTTTTTCAGCCTTTACTAATAACTTGAACTAAAGAAAATAAACATATTTTCGTTGCAGTATGATAAATAGAAAATTTATCGAATCATTTCGCGTGGGGTAAACGTAAAAAATAACTATCGAAGAGGGTAAGGATACTGCATTCGATAATGATTTAAGTAAAAAGTAGATTGCATAATATTGGTGCTGCTATTTGATATCTTGTTCTCTTCTATTCAGAAACTGACATTACATTGCTAAAACAAAAAAGAGAAAAGGAAAGAATAGAGAAATAATTAATTTGGATTACTTTTGAATACAAGCATATTTATAGTAATGCTATGATTCGAAATTTCAGACGATGTTCTCTTCAAAATTTTGACTATTTCAAAAATATTTGTACATTTTAACAAATCTGTTATTCAGAAGTTTTTTGAAAACATTTATTTCACTTCTGGGTAACATTTTGAAAAAGATGAAAATTAGAAAAATTTTAATGATACTCTTTTATGAAAATCTGTATTCAAATATATATATATACAAGATATTTAACTATTCAGATATTTCTTGTGGGTATTGTTAACTGTGAGAATATTACGAAACATTCGACATATATACTTTTGTCGTAGCAAGTTCCGATTCGAACATGGCTGATGGCCAACTAAAAATTAACGAGACTGTCGATAAAATATTTCATGTAAGATTTATATTGTTTCAATTTTCTTATAAGATGTCAATAATTCTTTAGGGAGTATCATTGACTGATATTCCAAATCTTTTTCAAACACCTCCAACTCTAAAGGATATGCAAGATATGCATGATGTTGGTCACACATTTATGATCAAAGTATAACATGATGTACACGGTCATCGAATAAAGAGTAATTGAATTTTCTTTTCAAATAGCCATTCAAATATGATCCATCGAATCCCAATCGTGAACCGGAACCAATTCATGGAGTGGGAAACTATTGGGATATATGGAATGACGATCATGTTCGTTTGCCATGTTCACCATGTAATGTAACAGTAAGTTGGAACCAAAACTATCTGTTAATACATATGGAGTTTTTGTTCGTAGGACAACGGAACACCAAGATGGCCGATTATTCAAAAGAAATTGATAGAACTTAAGCAAAAGTGTGATGAGAAAACGGTCACCATCAACGATATTAAAGTGAGATATTGTGGCTTTTGCTTTCGTTTAGATATAAAATATTCATATTTAGACAGCGATAGAAGAGAGCAACGGAGCTCGTTTTGAAATAGGATGCTTAGAACAGTTACTTAATCAAGTAATATTAAACACACAAACTTGTCTAACTCAATCAATATTGCTTTTACTATTAGGCCTATTCTGCCGAACAACGATCTTACTTCACATCCATCATTCTTCCCAAAATGATATCTCTCGCTCTTGATGTCGGTAATATTTGTAGTCAGGTCTATATAAAACTTATCTCTTTGTTTTCTAATAATTTACATATCATTTTCTCCAGCCACCACCATTATTGCGTATTGAAACTAATCGTTCGGTAACCATGTCTCAACGACAGGCTGCTTCTTTATTAGCTTGTGCTTTTTTCTGTCTTTTTCCTCATCAATTTAATGGACAAACAAGTCAAACATATCAGAGTTTCAATTTTATTCAGTAAGAACGAATTTGAAAGTCTTGTTTTTCTCAAGAAAACTTTTGCCTTTTCCGATCAAAGTCTTTTGCAAAGTGGATCACCCTGGAAACTCGAAAAACTTAAATGCATTTTACATTATTTTCGGCGTATAAGCGAAGATAGTATGTAACAATCAATTTGTTTATTAGTATTTTCATGATTTCATGTTGATATTCTACCATCAGTGTCAAAAGGTGTTCTTACTTTTCGACGTTTTGCCCTTCCCGCTGTTTGGAAACCGAACTGGATCGAATCACATGCACCACTTTGTAAAATTCATCTAAGAAAAGATACAACTATCGAAGACATGTACGGTCTTTTACAAGTTGACTTTGCAAATGAATTCATTGTGAGTAAAAAGAAAACAAAAGAAACTCTTTTTATTATTTTAACAACTGACAAAAAGTTTACAGGGTGGTGGTGTGATGAATGAGGGCATTGTCCAAGAAGAAATACGTTTTACTATTTGTACCGAAATGCTTATAAGCGTACTTGTTTGTGAAGTAATGTTGCCGAATGAATGTATCTTTTTGATTGGCTGTGAGCAATATACAACATACAGCGGCTATGCAACTACATTCAAAGCTAAAGACAACTTTTTTGATAAAACACCCAAGTGAGTTATAAATCAATTTTTCTTTGTTAACAATGGTAACGTACTTGTATTTATAAAGAGATAGCTGGGGTCGAAAATTATCTCATGTTGTAGCTATGGATGCAATTAATTATTTGAATCCTCTCGATCAGTACACTATTGAGTGTATGAGTCGAGAATTGATCAAAGCTTACACATGCTTTCGTATTCCGAAATCAATGGAAAAGTCCATGTTCGGTATAGCAACTGGAAATTGGGGCTGTGGTGCATTTAATGGTGATAGACAACTCAAAGGTATGAATTATTAATACAAACATGATAGACTTCTATGATATGTTTCGACTAGCAATCATACAATTAATGGCTGCTTCTGAAGCTGGTCGTCCACTTGTCTTTGTCACGAGGCACGATCAAGATTTGGTCGAATGGTTCTGGAAAGTTTACCAGTATTTGACAAAACAACAAGCAACTGTACGAGATCTTTGCATTTATCTTCGACAATTTTCGATGCAATACGATCAGTCATCATTATTTGAATTTATTTTGAGTACACCTCTTTCGTCAATAAGACAAAGTTAATGGATATTCTGTTTCACAATACAATTTGATTTAAATGACTAGCGAAAAAAAAAGCACGAACGTTTGAACAGAATCTATCGTAAAATTCGAAATGATTGTAGTGTATTCAATACTATCACTTCATAATAGCAGCGATCGAATGTGTTCCATCGATTAAAACTAGGCATCTTACGATGTCGGGTTTCGATAAAATTTCTTTTTATAGATGATTGTGTGATTGTAAATAACTTTCCAAGGACAATTTTCGGACTATACTTTTTCAATATGTCATATAGTACCGATTATAAAGAGTGCAATCTCAAATAAGACACTTCGACGATTGGCACTGAGTTGATCATCACCTGTCTAGAACAGAACGATAGTAAAACCAAAAGTCTTCGAAAGAAATCTACACATCGTCATCAAACCATTTTGATTATCGATCATTGTTGTAATGTAGCCGG